CGACCCAGAGTTCACAGTCATCAAAACACCAGAGTTCATCTGGATTGTTTATGACAGAGGTGTCCAACATGCAGCTCATGGGCCGCATGCAGCCCAGGATGACTATGAATGCATCCCCACGTAAAATTGTAGACTTATTAAAAATATTGAGGGTTTTTTTGCAATTTTTGGGGATAACTCGATTGTGTAGTTCTCAAGCATGAACTTCATAGACAGTGTGTTGTAATGTCACATAAAATGAATGTATGTATGTGCTCGCTATTTGTACGCATGGCAGTGGCAGATATCATAAAAATTATGCACAGCCTTTTTTTTTTTTTTTTGCTCATTAGCTTCTGTTAGTGTTTGTATATTTAATGTGCGGCCCAAAACAATTTTTCTTCATCCAGTGTGGCCCAGAGAAGCCAAAAGGTTGGACACCCCTGGTTTATGACTAACAAATCATACCTTGTTGGTGTATTTGAATATCACAACAGCCCAGAAATTCACAACCCATGGGTTAAGAAACCATGGGTTAGTGTTATGTCTGAACAAGACCAATGCCTTTTTCTTTTCAGCTTTCCCTCAACACTTCATCCAACATTTCTGGATGGTAATTTCAGCTAAGGCAGATCTTTCCAAGGTCCCCCTAAGGGTTGGTTTCTTTTTTTAATTTGAAGGCTCTGGGGAACTGTGGGCAAGCCTTGGGAACAATGCAGTCCTTGATCTTGTACATTCTGGATTTTTAACACTATTTATTCTTATATCAAACCCAAAACTGTTGATCAGCTGTGAAAGAACCTGAGTTTAAGCAGGCTTTTCTTTTTAATCAACTTCTTTCACTTGCATCTTCTGACTGTTCCCAATCATATATTTTCCTAAGGAGCGACAATTGCAAAAAAAAAAAAAAAAAAAAAAAATTTGTCAAAAAAAAAAAAAAAATTTACTTTCACAAATAACAAATTTTCCTAAGGAGAAAAAAATAAAAAAAAAAAAAAAAAAAAAAAGCTCTTGTCATCATGTCAAATAGCATTTCCTCTCACCTGGTAGGCATTTGGTGATATCTGTAAAGCATCACATAGTACAGTGTTAATGAATAAGGTTTAAATCCCAAGGTAGATTTAACTTATTAGGCTAAAGTGGGTATGTTGAGTAGGAAATCAGAATCTCTTGGCATTAAATCATAAAAGCAACAGCAGTACTTCTAAATGGAGTTCAGAGGCAAACTCTGTTTTTCCAGGATCATACAAGGACCGGGGTTCATACAAATGCAACTACTCCGTTTTATGCAGTTTCAAAGTATCTACATTTGTTGTCAATTTGCTAGCCTGCCCCAATCTGCAGCTTTTCCAGACAGACCATGTGTGTTTTGCAACCATCTCAGGATCTCCTCTTTTTAAAAATCTGTACCATTCACAATCTGCAGAAGGTTCCAACCCTATGCTGACATGCACCAATCAATATTATGCAAGGTGGCAAAAGGCAAAGACCTGTGCAAAACCAATTAGATAACTTATGCTGATTAGAGTTTTCCATTCAAGCTGAGGTAGACAACTAGCTTCTGCCTAGTTACAAGATAATAGCAATTATGCCAAGAAAACCTAAGAGCAAGCAGGCAGGGGAAATGCAGCTCCTTCATTGTAAGGTCCTGGTCAGGTAAAAAGGTGCAACAGACTTCTTGCTGTGTGGAACACGGACTATCCCTAAAGCCTTTGCTGTCCTTTTATAAACAAAAGCTAGAATTCCAAGCCACTGTGGCTAGACTGTTAAGCTAAGCAAACATAATGGTCAATGGGAGTTTGGTTCATCACAAACAATTGTTCATTTTAGAATGGCAGTTTGGTTATTTTTGACAGTGTGATCATCTGTGTAGGATAATGTCTTCTCTGCTCAATTTCCAATAACATGGTAGGGGAAAATATAGTTAAGATGCTGCTGAATGAAACTTTTGAACAGAATTGGCAAAGCTATAGATGTACAATGAATGTTAAACTGAGAAACATTTTATGTGCGAATTAACTGAAATGCATGGGAGATATCATGATCATATTTTCTTCAAAGATTTATTTAGTGAGACAGGCTCTCACTTGTCTATTGAGGAAGACATGTAAGTGGGGGATTCAGCCATGGTGGGAGAGGAAGGATAATTTCCAACTGGAATCTGTTGCTGTGCTTTGCTTTCCTTAATTGCAGTACTTTTTCCTCCTGAAGAATTTTGTGCATAGAGAACTCTGGCTGTTTTTAGTTGCCACTTCATGATGCACTGAGGGTCAAAAGGCAATGTTGTAGTTATATGCTGTTTAACAAGGATTTTTCATTATTACTGGGGTTCTGTAATTATGGCATATGAAAATAATGAGGCCTCTGTAAGATTTCAAATGACAATTGAGGGAAGTATATGAATGAAGAATCCTAACACTGGTTATAGTTGGGCACAGTGACTCTAGTTCTCATCAGTTCCACCACTGATGATCTGTTCTTGGTATGGACACAACAGCGCATCCACAGAGCTCACGCCAAAAATGGATTGATATTCACTGTGAATATGTGAAATGATGTACACTGGGGTAAAAACAAAAATCCCAGCCTTGCGCATAAGCTGATGGAATCTGAGCTAGCAGTGACTGACCAAGAAAGAGATCGTGGAGTTGTGGTGGACAGGTCAATGCAAATATCAACTCATTAAGAAAGGAATTGGAAATAGAACTGCCAATGTCATACTTCCTTTACACAAATCTATGTGGTGGCTGTACTTAGACTACTGTGTGCAGTTCTAGTTGCCACACCTAAAAAAAGATATTGTAGTGTTGGGAAAATTGCAGAAGAGGACAGTTTAAAAGATCAAGGGGCTAGAACAACTTCTCTGTGAGGAAATATTACAACATCTGGGGTTGTTCAGCTTAGGAAAAAGGCAAGTAAGCAGCGGCATGATAGAAGTGTACAGAGTTACACTTGCTGCTCTGCTCTTACATAGATACACATCTGATGCTAGAACTGAGCTAACTGCAGAGAGATTTGGGACAGTTAAAATGAAATATTTCACCCAATACATAGTTGAATTATACAATACACCTTCACAAGATGATTTGAGGCGCACCAATTTGAACTGTTTTAAAAGAGGATTGGGCAAATTCATGGAGGATAAAGCTATCGGTGACTACTAGTCCTGATGGCAATTTGTTGCCTCCAGTATCAGAGGCAGTGGGCCTACATGCATCAGTTGCTGGGGAACCTGGGTGGGAGACTATTGTCCCATTCATGCAGCTGGTTGGCCACTATTTGAGCAGAAGGCTGGACTAGATGGACCCTTGTCCTGATCTTATATGGCTCTTCTCATGGAATTATTTCATTTGAAGAAGCTTATTTATTTATTGGACTGGAACTCTGGAGACCCAGGTTCTGGTCCTCACTCAGCCATGAAGCTCAGTGGGTGACTTTGGGATGGTTGATGAATCTCAGCCTAACCTGCCTCACAGAATTGTTATGAGGGTGAAACGGAGAGGAGGATTATGTCAGCCACCTCAGGTTCCTTGTAAGGCAGGACAGAAATTTTAATGAATGAGTGGATCTGCTGGCAGACCATCTTCCCTTATTTGTATCCAGCTGATAGTTAGGTTCATTGAAGTAGCCCTTGCAGGCCATTCCAAAGTCGGCTGAATGTTGCCACACGATACCTTAGTGGTGAAACTTTTCAGTAGCACTTATCCATTCCCTGGAAAACCCTCCCCTTTGTAGTTCAAGAGGCAGGGAATGTGGCATGTTTCAAATGTTCCTTGTATTGCAAGTATTGTTTCTCATATTGCTGTATACTATAGCGTAATTTGAATTGTTTTAATAATGTATTTTGATTTGATTTTAATATTATCAATATAATATTTAATATATTGATTTTAATTATCTGTGAACCAATTAAGGATTTCACTATCTTAAGCACTATAGAAGTAACACAAATCAATAAATCATTCGGGTCTGTACTCAACCTTTCTACCACAAAATAACACTCAAGGTGGCTTGCAGAGGCAATTAAAATTGCAATAAACAAATAAGGGTTGCAAAATGAGAGCAGCACCCCATGCAATAAGCCCACTTACAGGCCAAAGCCTTCTTGAATTAAGTGGACTTCACCTGTATGTCGGAAGAACGGCAGAAAGGAAGCCTAGTGTTGCCTTCCTGAGAAGGAGCTGCACAGCCTGAGGGCAGCCACCAAAAAGGCCCTTCCTCATGTGGTTACCAAATGAGCCTCTGCAGTCTGGTATTTCCTGGACCTCCTCCCTCTATTGTGCATGCCAGTCTGTTCCCTCTAGTAAGATTAAAAGAATTCCATATGTACACACCTATGGATCTCTGACCAGGCACTTGACTCTTTTAGTGAGCTCTCTGTTGTGCAAACTTGAAGGCACTTTTCAGAATATAGTTCTGTAATAACTCAACAATGTTTACACATATACAACTTTGCGAAAGAATATGTCCTCACAAACAGGGAAAGCTGTTTTTTTTTTTAAAGACGATGAGGTAGAAATATCAAGTTGTGTCTCTCTCTGTTCTTTGATTGCATTTTCTTTTTTTCTTTTGCTTAAAATTCTTTCTTGAAGCCTCCCGATATGCTACAGCATCTGACCTCAGTTCCAAACTGCACAGAAATCTGCTGCATCTTGCTTCTATTAGGTTTCCTTTAAAGAAACCTCTTTGTATAGAAAGTGGGGGTGGGGAAGGAAACCTAATCAGTTTGTTTAAAACATAAAATTGGGGGAAGCACATGAACTAGGTGATTAGAACAAAATTTGCCATGCAGGGTTTTTGTTTTGTTTTGTTTTTGTTTTGTTTTGTTTCTAAACAAATGAAGGGAACTGTAAAAAAAAAAATGAAAAATAAACCCCTCTTAATGCAGACTCTTCTCTCTCAGGATAAAATGGAATTAAAATATTGTCAATAAATTGTGTGAGAGCGACTGTATCAGTCTGTGCATTGATAGTCTGTGCATGCAGGATAAGAGCATTGACTGCCTGCTAATCTATTCCCAGATGGAGGTGGATGCAGACGAGAAGCGCCATCGCACACGGTCCAAAGGTGTTCGAGGTACGTCTCTTGCTTCACTAAATCACTCAAGGCCCCTGCTCAGGGTGACCTTCATCCTCCAGAATCTCTTTGCATGATTCATTCTGACCCTTGCTTTTTTACACAGCCTTTTTTGGCAATTTTCAGCAGGAGAGGGGGGTACTTGTAATAGATGATAAATTTTTATATATTTTCCATCTCTCTGCAGTTCCCGTGGAACCAGCCATACAAGAGCTGTTCAGGTTAGTGCACTGAGTGTAAAATGTATCCCCATTAGCAATTTAGAAAATTCATGCCTTTTAATGGGTATAATGCACTTTCAAGTTCATTGGTGGCTTGCTCATGCCCTGCTGCATTGATGAAATTAATTCCCCTGGGATTTGCTAATAAAAAGCATCCCCTCCCCCCTTTTCCCTTCAGTTATTTGATTTCTCTTTTTCTGTCTTTGTTGCCCTCCATCTCTATAATACCTACCGCCTGCTTTTACTATAATCTCTGTGCAGCACAGCGGCACCAATATAATTAATTCCTTCTTTTTTACAGCTGCCCTACCCCTGGCTGTGATGGCAGCGGTCATGTTAGTGGCAAATACGCAAGACACAGAAGGTAATGTGTGAGTCACTGTACATGCATATGTGCCTGCAAGGGACAGAAGAGATCTAGAAAGCAAGTTAGCTGACATGATTCTGCTAATAACCTAGTCATTGTTGTTGGGGAATTAATAGCGTACACAAAAAACTGTTGTGTACTCGTATTCCTCTTCTCTCTCTTCTGGCACCTAATTGCAGTGTCACTTTGTGACAACTTCCCAGTCATTAATTTTTCTATCCCACAAAACTGCAGTGTAAATTGAAATTGAACAAAAGTGCGAGCAAAGAGATGTCACTGTGCCTCTTTCCTAATTCTGTATTCAAACTCATCACTATTAGGCATATTAATCACATATAGAGGGGAAAGTCTCCAAACATTGCAAATGGTAGAATACTGTTTTCCTGAGGAAGTGTCCTTTTCCTTTTCATCTTTCTTCAGGTAGGGTATGCAGTCATGTGTGGCCAGTTAAAGTGTGACCTTATTGACATTTTTGTGCTAGTATGACTTATGTCATTTAATAACATTCATAAATAGAGTAACAGCTTGATGTTTTGAGCACAGAGAGTCCAACTATGTGGTTAGATTCAAAGGGGAAACTCTAGGTTAGATCAGTGATCATAAGTCTGAGATCTATATCTGTAGATCTGTATATCAGAGATCCACTGTAATTCATAGACTATGGTGAGTGACATGATATCTGGTAATGATATGCCAGCTGTTTCTTTTTAATTAATATATGGTTGCATTGTTTGGACATATTTCAGTGAAGTCATTTATATAGTATATATTTCTGTATAGCTCGAAGTATCTGAGGCTGCCTAATTTTGGAAGCTAAGCAGGATCAGGCCTGGATAGAATCTGGATGGGAGACTTGAGTTCTGCTTTGATCAGGAGGTTGGAGCCAATGACCTTCTAGCCTCTTCCAACTGCATGATTCCATGAGTAACCTTTTGTTTCTGTAGGTGAAATGGAGGTGCAATGACATGGTTTCACAGGGAGATGGATATATATCTAATACACATCCAAAATGCTCCTTTGCTGTCTGTGCAACTCTGTTTAGCACACAAGTGCCAAATCCAGGTGATAAGAAGCAGCCAGTAGGTGCCCCCAGACACCACATTGTATGGAGGATAGTTACAGAAGCAAATAAATCCTAAAACTGGGACACAGTGCATTGTCTTAAAGCATGGTTAGGATATCATGCCATTGTGGGCAGATACCATGCACAAACGGGGATGTTTAGGGAATTCCTCTTCCAAAAGAATGCTTAAACAATACTCTACTGTTCTGTTTTCTTTTTCCAGTTCTTTTAAAGCTTCTCAGTGCATCCATACTTGGTTTTCAGCACTTATGTTGTTCACCCCATTGTTGCCTTAACAATATGTACAGTATGTGCATGCAGTGATAAAACATTGCAAGAAAGCAATGTACATGTGGTTGCATCAATATTCCCTCTGTGTGTGCTTTACCAGCATGGAGGAGTATGTTGATCTTGATACAGTCATATGTAACATCAAATCAAGCTTGCTTTTTTGGAATGTCTGTATCAATATACACACATGTATTTGGAGCTAGGAGGTAGTGTTTGGAATGTACAAGAAGAAACAGAAGGCTGCAGCAAACTCCAATCCTAGACTCTACTCCTAGAATTAGTTTAAATTCCCCAACTTAAATTGATCCTTAGAGAGATGGGCCTCAGGGCAAAATAAAAAAGGACACAATCCTATGCATGGTTAGACCAAAAACAAAACAAAACCCTACAATTCCCACCATAGTCAGCTGGGGGCATGCTAGGGGGTGATAGGATTCTGTACATGCATAACATTGCCCTATTAGAGCAACAATAAAGAAACAGAATGATAGAATTGCCCAGAAGTCTTTAGCTATAGGGTGGTATAGAAATAAATAAATAAATAAATAAATAATTCTCCATGGATGAATTAGGGGGTCCATGGGTTCACACGATCCAGGCCTATGATTTTAAGATAGTTGCGCCAGGCACTGGTAGAAAATCCCTTAAGTACTGGCCATTTTGGTGAGTAGGGCTCATAGGAACTGCAATTCAAAATGCCAGGAAAGCTATAGGTCACCTCTTTCTGCTGTAGAATATGTGGCAAGCACACAGTCGTGTGAATGTAAATCCCACTGAATTCAAGAGGAAAGGTTAGAGAAAATAGGTTGTAGTTTTGATATGGAACCATGAATTATGAAGTCATTAAACACCTTAATAATAAAGTCTGAGTAACTGGCAGAACAGAAGTAAGTTAAGTGTGTGTTTTCAATATTTATGTACAGGTTAGCCATCATAGAGGAACTTATATTCTACCAAGTTTCCAGATAATGTCCAAGTATGTCAACATCTGGATCCAACCCAGTGTATTCTAATGTTTCATTAATATGTTATTATGTTATATCAACTACGACTAAAAGCATAAATATGCATTCAGGCATCAGATTTAGTACTTTTGAAATTAAGAACCTGGGTATGGTAAGTCTTAACTGTGAGAGAGTTCATATGTTTCTTTGTAGCCAGATTGTATGAGACACTCCACCAGAGTTTAGGGATAACGTCTGAGTCCCTGATGGTGTGGGCATCTGATTCCAGCCCAGGCTCTTTCTGCAGTTGTCATGGCACTGGTCTTTCTGATCCCTTGCAGGGCACAGAATTGCAATGCAAGAGGCTTTGATTTTTAAAAAGGGGTTGAACAGCTGATACTACCTTAAGCTTATGTCATAAGGTTGTCCCTATACCGAGCTCTGTGCTGTGGTTCCTAGGCAAAACAATGTGTACCTGGCAGTCTGAGATGACTTATGCTTATAGAATAGACTACAAGTGTGGGTGATTTATGTTTCCTTTAAGCTAAGAATACAGGTAGGTTTTCACTGATCTGTTTCCCATGTGAATTTCTGCTGAAATGGGTTATTTTCAAAAAAGAGAAATTCTGTCCCCATTAAAAGAAGAAGAAAAAAAATCAATGTTGATGTTTTTCAGGCTTGCTTGATGTCATTCCCTTCTCCCTCACACACAACGTCAGTGTGTTCCTTTCTCATTGGGGTGTTAACCACATGGACACGGATAGCCAATCAGGCATCACATCTCTAAATCCTGTTTTACTTTTTAATGACCTCACTGAGGACATTGCATAGTCACATGAGTTATGCAACCTAACTGGAATCATGGAGTGAATGGGGTTTCATCACAAAGCTATTTAGCCCGTGCAAATTGCTATGTGATGACATAATTGAGGATAGGGGTAATTAATTGACAGTGAAACATGAAAGTGCTGAAAACGGATGGGAAGAGATATTTCTAGATGCTGTCAAAAATGTTCATGAAAGTAGTTCAGTAGTTTTGGCTCAGCTCTACAGGTTATGGCTTGATGCCAACTTTTTCTATGGAAGGAACTAACATGAAACTCAATTTTCCTCCTGTTCCCTTCTGTTTGCAGCCAATATGTGCCCTGAAAACTTGCTCCTGACATTTGGTGACATATGCAATGGTGTTAAGATATGGTGCAGGGAAGTACAAATTTAGGAGAGAGTTGAAAGAATTATCATTCTATTTCCCCTTAAATAAATGGAGGAGCAGTTTAGACGCCAAGTCTATATATCATAAATGAATGGTTTTAATGCTTTAGTGATTATTTTTTCAAAGCCAATAATATTTATATTTTAGAAGTATATCAAAGCCTATGCATCAAACAATCACAAAAATGGGAAGAATGTTTTTTCTAAAAAGAGGTGAAGTTGAAAAAAATGTTTTTCCACTACACTATACTCACATATGGACATATAGTATCCATTTAGCTGATTTGCTATAGTCTATTAGTCTATAGTACTATTTCAAAGATTTAAATAATTGGATTCATTAGCAGAGGAAAATATAATTTTACTTAACTCTTCCAGATTTTGATTCCAAATTGGATATTTTTCTCCATGCAAAATGCATGCAGTGATAAATGTGCAGCGTCTTTCCTCTGACAAACTCCAGGATCAAGCTAGTGGTTGAATTACAGTATAATAAGGTTTTTATTAAAATTGCCTTTTTAAAGTGCAGTTCTGTACTTTAATGTAATTCAAATATAGTTTCCAAAGATCTGAATTTTTTGAAAAAGTAGTATCTGTTCATGAAGGAGAAGAAATGGGGATATGCATGTTCCCACATTTAGGAGGCCATGGTTGACATTAGGTTCACTTTCAGATGTGAATTCCTTATTTTGCTTTCATGACATGATCCTGCTATGTCAATACATGAACAGACTGAATCTTGGAGCTGTTAATTAAATGAAAATTTAAGGACGTTTCACCAGGCAATTTGGAAAAGTATCAATTTTTTTTCAGGCTGTTAACAAATTCTTAACACCCCAATTATCAGTTATGTCCATGGAACAGACCTCTTATTAATATGACTGGAAAGGAAGCTTTCAGTTGACACTCCCGATGTAATTTATTTTTAAGGAGTATTTTCTTTTTTAATCAATACATTATATATACAGAGATCTTTGTTTTAAATTCTGTCAAGCATTTATGGTAGACAGAAACAGTACAATTTCAAATGAAGTGAAACAATACAGTGTTTGCATTCATAAGAATTTGTGCCTGTAACAGATTTTCTTCATATTCCACTTCTAATGTAAGGTTATAATCTCTTTATTTTTTTCTATCAAAGTCCACCTCTTTCTTACAAAGAAATCCTGCAATCCTGCATAAAGAATATGTTTCCTGACACTGAACTCAACTTTTCTTTAAAGCTATGCTTAGGATTTTCAACTAGAATGGGTAGACAGACGAATATGTGGTTACGAAAACATACTCCCAGTGCTCTTTATAGCAAATCTTTGTATTAGTATCTATAACGGGGTAGCCAGGGTCTTTCAGCTCAAGTTGATCACTAAAAATTATTTAGACATACTAAATATGGGTACATTATTGCCAGTTTTGTCTCCTGCTGGCACTTCTACACATGTCCATTCCAACCCCCATCCAACTTTGCATTTCTTGAACACCACACGTTC